GATGATGTGCCAAGGTAAATGCATAAAAAATATTTTGGGTAATAGTCCGGCCCGGCCCGTTACAAGTATGGTGTTTTCATCATTCACCCTCTACCGTACTCCTTTCATTCGAGCTGCCTCCAAAGCTTGTCTCATCTCCTCGAACGACGTTAGTTAACATAAACTTGGTAAAGTTTTTTTTTCGATTTTTTCACTGTTTCCAAGAGTTTGTAAAACGCGATCTGGATTCGTGACTCTAATCGGTTGGTAAAAGAACTTGAAAAAAAGATTTTTGAATTTCAAAATACTCGAAATTTGGCCATATTCCTTTGCCATGATTTCGTCGAAAATAGTAAGCTTTGAAGCAACGGGTTGAGCGTTCAATTTTCATATTTCAGTGGATTGATGAGACGATTATATGGCTGTAGTATCGCTATCGTCTGAAATTCCTAATTTAGATCAAGTTTATGAAACTGAAAATATTAAATCATTATTCGATTTTTAGCCTGTTTGATCCAGTTGTTTAAACAACAAGTTGGGCTTAGAAATCAATTTACGTTCGGATAAGGTAGTTTATTTTTTCATAACGACAACTGCTTGTCAATTGACTTTCAAAAACAGTGTTTTTTGACAAGCCGAAACAGGATAACCTTTGATTACCCTAAAATCTAAAATCAGAGGTACCCTGCCTACTTTAACCAAATTTCTCTTGGTTCCTGAAGGGATATCAAAAAGTAGTCAACTAAAAAAATATTTCAGATGTTATGATAATCAGTTTGTCAGTTTGCTACTTTTTGATATCTCTTACAGGTATCGAGATAAATGTGGTCAAAGTTGAAACTCTATTAAAACAGATTTAGCAAGTTTCATGTCACTTACAATTTTTACTGTTGCCAACTGGAAGTAAATAGTCAGTTCTAAATTAATTAAGCAATGGATAATTGCTGAAGATAAGAAACGACTATTTAAGTATCTAATCCGTAAAACTACAAATATTTTCTCTCTCTCTCTCTCTCTCTCTCTCTCTCTTTTCTCTCGTCGCGGTATCGAATTGCTCTTATCTGTATTGCACACACGGAGAGTGACTCTAGCAAAAACGGCATCTCTTTTCTTCACACCTTTTCTCACTCGCCTCCCGACGGGCTCATCAAATCAACAAACAAATGGATAGAAAAGAGAGAGAGAACCATCGGCCAGCACCAAAACTTCTTTCTCCTTCTTATTCCATTCTTCTTTTCCATCTCAAAATTTTTTCTGTCTCTAATTCTCTCTCACTTCCTGTTCTGAATCTCTTTTTTTTTTGAAAAAGGAAGCAATGTTTCTATTTTTGGGGTTTCGGGCTTCGGAATATTTTTACAGTTTCAAGTAGTTTTCTACTTGTGAAAGTTGTTTCTGACAATAATTCCTACCGGTTTTCATGTAAGCTCACTTTTCTCAATTTCTTTGAGAGATATCAAAAATCTGTTAACTGATAAAATGTGGGGCATTTTATGAGAAACATTTTATTAGCTGGCAAATTTTCTATATCTCTTATAAGAACAGAGATAATTGAGCTCAATGTGTAATTACTATTATAGTACTCTTGGAAAGTTTAAAATATGTATGACCAGGAACCTGAAATGTTTGAAAAACTTGTCTTTAAAACCTAATGTTGATTCTGAGTTTCTTTTCACAATTTCAAAGGGGTTCAAATTTAAAAGTTCTCATCTGAAACTGAAAAAACAATTTTACCTAGACTTTTTACTGTTTCTCTGAAAACGTAAAAATCTGAGTTTCACTTGAACCAGCGGTTCCATATGTACACCCTATCAAAACAAAAAAGATTTACTTTACTTATCAGGGGATGATTTTTGATACCAGAATTCTTCAGACCTAAGAATCTCAGAATTTTAGAATATCAGAATCTCAGAATCTCAGAATCTCAGAATTTTAGAATCTCAGAATCTCAGAATCTCAGAATCTCAGAATCTCAGAATCTCAGAATCTCAGAATCTCAAAATATCAGAATCTCAAAATCTCGGAATCTCAGAATCCTTCAGAATCTCAGAATCTCAGAATTTTAGAATCTCAGAATCTCAGAATCTCAGAATCTCAGAATCTCAGAATCTCAGAATCTCAAAATATCAGAATCTCAAAATCTCGGAATCTCAGAATCTCAGATTCTCAGAATCCTAGAATCTCAGAATCTCAAGATTTCTACGTGGGTACTATAATTTTATGAGTGATGAAAACTAGTAAAAATATTCAACAAATTCCGTTTTTTTTAATTTTTGAGAAATTCGTTATTTAACTGTTTTAATAAGCCCATATACCAACTTTTAGATTAAAAAAAAAACTTATTTACAAAAATTAGTTACATAAAGCTTTTGTTTATTTTAGGAAGATTTGTGGGTTACTGTACCCTGCACTTTGAATATTCAAATCTTTTTTCGCTTTTTTTTTTTTTAAATTGTAAGCAAACAATCACTATTTTAAAATCAGCATAAGATAAAGTCAGCTTTTATGAATTTCAATCTCGAAAGACTGTGTCGTTTCAATTTATTAAAGTTTCCCCGTTTCAAAAGTTCTTGTCAGACACATTTGAAGGCGGAAGGACATTGAACGACATCTAGACAGTTTTGTTAAAAGAAGTTCCTCGAGAAGTTGAACCTGTGGGTCAAAAATTGAAGGTGTCACGCATCTACCGGTTGAGCTATGCGGTTTCCTCTCCTCTCTCTCTCTCTCTCTCTCTCTCTCTCTCTCACACACACAATGACAAATTTCCCTTCTGCTAGTGAGTTTGCTCATGGGGAGTTTTTTCTTCTGTTTATTTTTAACATACAAGTTATATTTTTAGAATTTCGTATCTGTTAGAAATGTTACTTTTCTATGGTTAGAGGTATGAAATTCATACTATGAGTCATAGAAATGAAAAAAAAAACATTCATCATACTTTTGTCAAATTTAAAATAAAATATTATACATGCTCAGACAATATTTTCAGACTTTCTTTTTTTCATTGTTCTCGCTTTCTTCAATTTTTCATTTAAGCCCAGACGATTATATTGCTGATTTGAAATTCGCTAATTTCAGATGTCTCTACGATCACTAATCTTTCTATCAACACTTTTTATCATATCAGCATCAACATTAAAGTGCTACGAAGGTGAGGAAATGCGCTCTAATCGAACACGAAAACTTTACATTTTATTAGCTAGAATATCACTAACATTTGAAATTTTGACCAGATATAATTTTCCAATTCTCCTATTCCCTTTATGATCCCTATTTTTTTTGCAGGTTCCCGAGGGATTGTAAACGGAGAAGACTCTTCAAATTTCGTCCAAAATGTGTGTGATGACAATATGACATACTGTTTCGAGTCTTATAATTCAAATCTGACAGAAGTGACTGCTAGTTGCCAGAATATGGGAACGGATCAGAAGTTGTTGGATGTTTGTAAGGTTAGTTTGTAGAAAAAGAGTCTAAAAAAGGCGTGAAAGCCCCTCAGAATTGAACTTGTGGGCCAATTATTAAAGATGCCGATTTGCTTCGAATGTCTATTGATTTGTAGGTGACTCAAATTTTATCAATTTTTCAATGTAAAGTTTGGAAAAATTTGTTCCAAAAATAAAAACTAATCAGAGTACATAAATAAAAAGAATATTCAAACTCTGTTGAAGCAATGATTTGAAAAATGGCCAAGTTGTATAATTGGTAAATTGGCTCATTGTTAATAGCCATAATAAAAAAATTATGAATGTGAAGCAGAAAAAAAGTGGGGCACATAGTAAACCTCTTATAAAAATTTTTGGAATTTTTCTTAAATATTGCTATTTAACATAGAAAATTAATTTCCGTGATAATTTGAAATATCTATTTATTCGAGGAATTTCTTTAGGTGGATGACAATTCAAGTGTTATTTTTATAAGAACATATTGATTTCAAAATTCAAAACTGATCGATTTTTTTGAAATTAGACTCAATTTCTGTTTCATATAGAAAATTGAATTATGTGAGCATTTCGAACATTCATTGAATCTAGTAATTTTTATTCCAAAATGCAAAACTCCTCCAAGATCATCCAAAAACTGATCATTCAAAACTGTGAAATATAAAACTTTGTCATAGTTTTGAAGCAGTAAAGTATAAAGTGAAGTTTGGACGATTGGAAACAGTATATTGTTAATTGTTGAAGGTCATAGTAAAAATGATGAACATGAAGCAAGCATAGAAAAACTCATAGTTAAATTTAAAAATTTGACTCAAAAACTGCTTTTTCATATTGCGAATTTTTTTTTGTGAAAATTTTCAAATGTTATTTATTGATTTGAAGGTGACTTAAGATTTATTAATTGTATTAATTGAAAACTAAAAGTTCGATAATTCATATTCCAAATTCAGAACTCATAGATCATTTAAAAACTGCAAAATATCTCATTTTTTCATAGTTTCTAAGCAGTAAAGTATAAAGTATTCTGATGTTTGGAAAAAAAACGATTGGAGAGGTGGGGTATAGTAAAACTCATATACAATCTTTTTTTAAATTTGACTCAAAACTTGCTGTTTCACATAGCGAATTAATTTTCTCTGGAAATTTCAAATATTAATCGGTTCGGAGGTGGTTTAGGCTTCATTGACTTATTAAGTAAAAATAAAAAATTTAATGATTCATATTCCAAAATTCCAAACTCATTAAAATCCAATGAGAAACAGATTATTAAAAAACCCGCGAGAACATTTTGTCATAAATTGAAGCAGTAAAGTAAAAAAAATGAAGTTTGATTGTTTAAATGCTAATTTTCAATAGACTGATTGTCAAAAAGATATTTTAGACAAAATTTCGAATTTTTCCAGATGGACGGAAAATGCAAAGAACGCACCGACATCGACTTAACAGTTTGTTGCTGTACAGCGGATTTGTGTAACCTACAAGACGATTTGAAGCCAACACCAGAAACTCCAGAAATCGATGGATCCTCCGAACAATTGAATTCAACAGATGTTTCATCTTTGGAAACTACAGAAATATCCGATAAATTTGTGGAATTGAACGAAACGATGGGGCTGGAGCTGGACTTAAATGGGACCACTGGAGGACTCTGAAATCCTATTTTTAAAAATCAGTTTTGCTTTTCTCAACCCTAAATATGTGTGTTTTGTGTTCTTTCTCGGGTTCGAATCAATCCGAATATAATTCTTTCATGTTGATTTGACCAATCTTTGTTCGGGTTGTTGTGTGATTATTCATTTTTGCTTTCGTTTGAATAAAAAATGTTGTATTGAAGAATAAAAATATGTACAACAAAACATTTCAAAGGGGTTTGATGAGCATCATTTTAGAAATGGGGGTAATTGTACTATAAAAGCTTCATGGTTGGAAAATCTCGAAAATTGACCAGTGGCAGAACAACGAATCTATTCGTCCTCAGAGTCGGAAGAGTCCTCCATGACGATCTGGAAATATAATTTTTAAAATTCGACGAATGTCTCTCATGATCGCCGCTAGTCGCCGACCATTTTTTGATTATCGGAAATTATAGCCGACTATTGTCTTAAGCTTGGCGACCATCGCCGAGCCCTTCCGATTATCGACCGCCATTGAGAATCTCAGAATCTCAGAATCTCAGAATATCAGAATCTCAGAATCTCAGAATCTCAGAATCTCAGAATCTCAGAATCCATCGCCGACCATTGTAGACTAGTGCCAACCAATCGCCAACCATCGGCGACAATCGGCCTACATAGACCGACCATCGGCAGCAATCGGCCGACCATCGTAGACCGTTGTAGACCATCGTCGATCATCGCCAGCTATAGCTGACCATCGGCAATTATCGGCGATTGTTGCCGACGATGGCCGACCATTGACCGACCATCGCCGAGCATGGGTTCACCATCGCCGACCATCAGCCGATCATCGCCGACCATTGGCCGATCACCGCCGACCATATGCTGACCTTCGCCGACTATCAGCGACCATCACCGACCATCACCGATCATCGCCAACCACCGGCCACCATTGCCAAACATCTCCGACCATTTTCCAACCATCGGCCAACTATCGCCGACTATCAAATAAAGCAAAATCCTCACCCTCGGCTTGTAGTTCTTATTATAATTCGGAATCACTGCGGCCAGATCCACCTTCAGATTTGGATCCCATCCAGTGACAAATCCATGCTTGTCCATCTTGAAGCATGATGGAATTGGCGGCAAATCCAATCCTGGGTCCTCCATGGCTGCATTCATCTTAGCCACAAAGTCCGGATAATTTGCCTCGAGAAGCTGGAACATTTTTTTTGGTATAATATTTTTTCTGTCTTAAACTCACCGGTAACTCATCTTGCAACACTTGCTTCTGAACGCATTTCTCAAGATGCTGGCGAAGATTGTAGCGGTATTTTATTTGGGCACCACATAAGTTGCATTCGACCTCCGCATTCTGTTGGTGGGATCTTTTATGGCGTCTAAGTTTGTCTTTTGATTTAAAACATGCAAAACATTTTTTGCATTGAAGACGTGCGATTGCCGGGTCAGTGCTCACTGAAAGAAATAGAGTTTTAGTAGGAGAAAATATGAAAATTAGCGGCGATTATTTATCGACAGTCGGAAATAATGAACGACAAAATTCCAAATATTGGGAACTATCGGTGACTGTTTCCCGACAATTGGAAATTAGCGGCGACGATTTCCTGACAAGGGAAGTAGTAGGCGACAGTTCTGTGACCAGCGGAAATTATCAACAATATATTTCTCGATTATCGGCAATCATCGGCGACAACTCTCCAAATTTTGGGAAATATCGATGATTGTTTCCCAGCAATCGGAAATTATCGGCGACAATTTCCAATAATCTCGAACTATCGGCGGCCATTTTCCAACTATTGGGCATCATCGGCGACAACGTTTCGACAATGGGAAATCATCGGCGACAATTTCTCATTTATCGGGAATTATCGGGAGCTATCGGCGACAATTTTCTTACTATCGGGAACCATCGGCGGTCATCGCAAACAAAAAAAACTCACTCTCTGTCGGAATCGGCGCTTTGGTGGCCCTCCCCTTCCTCTGTTTGAATTCCTGATCTTCAACTTTTCCTTCTGCAAGATTCGCCAACAGTTCTTTCCTCTTCTCCTCGGCGAGCAACTCTTCTTCCCTTTTCTTTTTGTATTTATCAAGTTCTTCTTGTAATTGAGCAGCTCTGGCCTCCTGAATCTTATCCCTCATTGTTTTTTTGTCGATTGGACAGTCTGCATCAATGGCGATCCTTTTACGGCTCCATGTCTTCTTGGCTTTGACTGGTGGTGCTGCTGAAAATGGGATTTTTTATTTAACGATTGGTCGTGGCCGGCAAGCATCGGCAAGCGTCGGAAACCGTCAGAGACCATCAGTCTACCAACAGCAGCCGTCAGCGACCGTCGGCGACTTTTTTGGAGAAGTTCATTTAAAAAACTCACTCTGTTTGTGAATCTCTTTTTCAATTTTTTCCTCTATTTTTTCTTCCAATTTTTCTTCTGGAACCTCCATCCCAACTTCTGTTGTTTCCATTGGAACCTCCATTGCTTCCTCTGGATTATCCATCGTTTCTTCTGCAATCTCCATTTCCATTTCTGGATCCATATCTGAAACAAAAATCAATAAAAACGGACCACAAAAAATCGACAAACCGACGAACGACACAGTTTAATGAATGGTGTATGCCTGTTGCGTCGCAGAACATTGCATGCGTCTTTTTCTTCTCGATCCAACTGCGTCTCCTTCTGTTAAATACTATGTCCTCGTTTTTCTTGCTGGGGCCAGAATTGTCTCTGCGTCTCTCCATTCAATGCAGTCTTTTCTTTTGGGCAGCTGTTGACACGCTACTTGGTCTTTGGGAAAACGGGGGAATAATAGAGATTAGCATGGAAGATAACATAGAGAATATTGGAATTGGGGTAATTTGTTGAGATGTGTAATGAGCAATTACCGAGTGACACTTGGATGAGAGTGTGTGAATTGGAGACTTTGGTATACGTACAATAAAATTTCAGCAAAAAAGACAATTCTGTAGTAAGTTTGTATTAGTAATTAAGCGTTTTCTCAGCCCCAGTAAGATCTTAGACACATTCTTTCAAGTTATCTAATACTTGAAACGGAAGAATTATTTTTTCATTACTGTTTTTTATTGTTTGCCGTTTATCAAATTAACCACACATTTTTACAGTTTCGGTTATACTGTAATTACAGAAAAATTGTTAAATTTTAGTAAAGCATGTTTAAAATTTGATTAAATTATTGAACTTTTATTAAACACATCAATTATTTTCAGAATCAGGTGAAAAATATTAGTTATGGAACTTCTAAAGATTAAAAAAATACAGCAAAACAGATCCTCAAAAATGCCTTTTAACAATGACCAACTTCTTCTGAATATCCAGAAGATTTCCGATGACGTCATACAGCGTATGATAGGCATTCACAATTTCATCAGTAAGCTTCTCCTCAAAACTTCTCTTCAATACAGCGTCCACGCCTTCTAGCATATTCTGTAAATTTACATTTCCAAATTTTCAATTTTCACAAGACTACAGTAACCCACAGTAATGTGATACTTGTTAATATTCCATTTAACATGACTTCTAGCAATTCTAGCCATAAAATACGTCAGCTTCTCCTCGTCATCCATCACTTCCACGATTTCCTGAAAAACCGGAAATTTGAATTTCCCGCCAAATATCTATTTTCCCACTTTCAAGCCTGCCATATAAACTGAGCAATGGTTGGCGAGCTCGTTGGAAGCGAGAAGTGCAGAATCCTGAAGAGTACGGAATTGAGGCCAGATGTTTTTGTAATGGGGGAATTCGGAGAAGTATCTGGAAATATTTAAGTGTTACTAGGCCATTTTAAACATGGTGGTCTAACTTTCCCGACATGAATTTTCTAGGCCACCATTATGAATGACCTAGTAAATGAAGATCAGGCTGTTTCTAGGTCATAAAAGTTTGTGGCCTAAAATACTCAACTTGCAAAAGTTAGGTTGCTCAACCTTTATGGCCTAGAAACGGTCTGATGTGCTTTTAGGACATTTTAACATGGGCTAACTAACCTGCACACAACTAATATGTCAGTGTTTACACCTTTTTCTTCTGTGACTACCGTGCTTCGACCGCAAACATCTGACAGTTTAAAATAGCAAGAACACCTACTGACTAATAGAAAGAAATTTTACTGTGCAATATGAGATTTTTGAAACTGAAACTTTCTGTTTTATATTCTCATTAAAATTTCAAGCGAAACAGACTTTCTTAATGCCTGGTGTGTTTCGATAGCGACGCTTGCAACCACGCAACTCAGACGGTAAGAACGCGGGGCTTTTATTATTTTGCTCACGTGTTCAACCCTTCATGAGAATTCTTCGAGCGACCCCTCAGGTAACCTACCGGTGTAGCTCATTTTTAAACCAAACACAATACCGATAAATAAAATATGCAAAAACTATTTTTTTAAAGTTGCTTTTCGGTCATTTTGATTATTTTGAGGATACTGGAGCTCGGCTGCCAAGTGTCCAAAACTAGGTCTGTTTTACCCGCTCCAAAACTTTCAAAGTGATCGAAAACCTAACAAAAAAAAAACCGAACTCCAGACTCCATTTTTGCTAATCTTATTGTCCGGTACTGCACTTTAGAGGCCCCAGATATGATCATCCCCTCTCCAAAATGTTTTTAAAAGTTACAAACTTGGCAAACAGAACCAGTCCATTCCTACGGTAATCCTTGAAAACCACTGGAAACGTTTCCTTGAAAATGTGCTTCTGCCGCTGGGAAATCCTATCCATTTCTTGTCTCATCTTCAACTTGGCATCCGGATTGTTCAAATCTGAAACTAAACACAGAAAATCAGAAAATTACATTGGCTTAAACTTACCGAAAATCGGAGATTGCACAGGAGGAGATGTCGGTCCCGGGGAATCGTTTTGTTTGAATGCTGAAAAAAATATTTTTTTTTTCGATTTCACAAAACTGATATAACTTTAAAGTTCTAATCCTAGTTAATGCTTCTGGGTTGAGTAAATGCTATAGGAAACAAGACCTCTGCTGTTTGGTTACTGTACTTCTGAGAAGGAAAAAATCCGATAGCCTAGCAGCCGGCCCTGTTTTCTATGGTTGACTTACGACAAGTTGAAGGCATCTCGGCTTGAAGAAAACGTCGGAAAATTTTGATAAGGCTGAGCTATGCAGAAAAAACAACCAAATAAAATGATGACTTCCTTTTTTTCAACTTTATATCATCGTAAAAAAATCTTGTGATTTTTTGAATCACAAGATTTTCGTAAAGTGCCGGAAATACAAACGCTGTATATTTTCTCTGACGGCTACTAATGTGATGATTGGATAAATGAGTGATAAATGCTCCTCGTGGTTTAAGGAAATATATACGAAAGATGAGAATGTTGGAATCAAAGATCCTGAAGACGTCATCGTTTCTAGATGATAAAGATGCGCACGTTTTTCTGGAAGTTTCTAACATATGTCATTCAGCAGTGCATTAATGAAACCTGATTAGTTTGACGAATTATGGAAAAAGTGAAACTGAAATTTTTAGTTTCAAAATTTTGATGAAATCTGAAAACTATGTTTCAGTAGCGTATCGTTTGTTCCGAAATTCCAAAAAATTATGAGATTCGGAAGAATCCTGAAATCGTGTAGTTCTGATTCCGAGATTCTGAGATTCTGAGATTCTGAGATTCTGGGCCCAGTATCCAAGGGTACATCAAATAAGGGTACATCGAGGGTACATCGAGATCTTAGGGTACATTGGATCAGAGGGTGCATCAGATCTTAGGGTACATCTGGGAGGTAGGTTCAAGGGGTACATCTCATGGTGGTTCTAAGGGTACATCAGAGAAAGGATCCCAGGGTACATCGAAAAGTTCTTAGGGTACATCAATCAAAAATACTGTACTTTTCCACTGGAAGATATTTTGCTATAAACCGCACCATTTTTTTTTGTTTTTTGTCTGTATTTATTTGAAAACTACCATTTTTTCGTAGTTTTATGGATTGATAGGTTTTTGAAGTCTTTTTGAAGGAGCTTATCGTACTGAAATTGGCAATAGGAAACAAGTCGAAAACTCGATATTTATCAGAACGAACTTTCAACCAAAACCACATTTCAAATGTACCAGGACAGGAAGCATTATAAATCTGAAAAAAAAATCCAAGTTCTTTCAAACTCTTCGGATTTTTCGGAAACACAAAGATACAAAACCGTTAAAAAGACTACAAAATGAAATTAGTTTTCAAGTACACAAAAACAAAACATTTGGATCTGGTCGAACTTGAACTCGCGACTGCAGATTTCCGTGCACGCACACACACCACTAGACCACGTTGCCAATTTTTGCTCAGGCGAGCGATCGGAAACGACACCGGAAACAACTGAAATCGAGAACCTGGCCTAAAAATTAAACTTTTCAGACAAATATTAGATATTATCAAAAATCATCCCCTGATAAGTAAAGTAAATCTTTTTTGTTTTGATAGGGTGTACATATGGAACCGCTGGTTCAAGTGAAACTCAAAATTTTACTTTTTCAGTGAAACAGCAAAAAACTAGAGGTAGTTTTTTGTGGTTTGGAATGAGGGGATCGATTTTAAATTAATGAAATTAGATTACCTATGAAATTTACAAATGCTCAAAACTCTGAAGCATTCTGAGATTCTAAGATTCTGAGATTATTTTATGAAATCATTTAGTTGAATTGTTTACAAATTGTCGCCTGTATCGTTTACTTATCAAAAATAAAAACTTACAGAAAATTAGAAAACTAAATGAAACAGAAAAAAAAACAAAAAAAAACACCTTTTCTCAAAATTTGGTTTATTAAATCCCTTAAAGATTTGGGAACTCTGAGGTTCGAAGGGATTCTGAGATTCAGAGATTCAAAGATTTATTATTTATTATTAATATCATTATCAATTAATCATTCAAGTTCACAAATCACATCATTCATCTTCCTAGGCATCATTTTCTTCGGATTAAACTCCACAACTTCCATAGATCCATTTCGAAACTCGTTGTATTTTCTGGCGATGTGCCAGGTTCCAACAAATGCACATTTCAATTTTTCAGTGGTCCGTTTTGAGCACTCCCGATGATTTCGAAGGTCAATCGAGATGCATTTGAATAAATCCGAAAGTGATTTTCCGAAAATTTTCAAATTTTTCATCGAATGGTAGTTGGGGAAGAAGTTGAAACATTGTGTGACTGGGCGCTCGATCTGATAAAAAATTTGTTTCATAAAATTGATTATTGGTATCTACAGTAATCCTCACCTTTTCCAAACATGCAAAAACTTTTGGATTATTAGGTTGGCGGGAAAGTCTTTGTCACTCTGTTTGTTTAATCACTGTTCTCGTATATGGAGGCTGTGTATGATATCGACTCTAGTGAATAACAAGGTGATAAGAACCTTCCATATAAACAAGTCCCCATTTCCTTCCCTGCTCCTCATCTGTAATTGAAACGATATGTTTGTTCCCACTGCTATTCACATCAGACATGTTTTGATTTACCTCTTCCTATCTCACACCACGATGAAGGATTCGGAAACTTTCTTGAAGAATGTGTACAACACACATGCCCCTCACTACAATACTATTCGCAATTGGTTCCATCGTTTCGAAAAAGATGACTTCTCGCTCGATGAAAAGGATCGCTCTGGGAGACCCCGTGAGTTGGATTTGGACAAGCTGAAGCACGCATTGCAATCGGATCCATTTCAATCTAGCCGTGAACTAGCTGTCACATTCGGAGTTCACCATAGCACAGTCCTTGAAGGTTTGAAGTCTCTTGGAATGAGAAAACTTTTTGGTCGATTCATACGTCATCACCTGACTCAAGCCAACCTTGACCGCCGAGTCGACGATTCGATTACTCTTCTCACTCTCCACGCGGGCGATCGATGGCTGGACCGGCTAATAACCGGAGATGAGAAGTGGGTCTTCTACGATAATCACCACAGGAAATCCCAGTGGGTTGGAGAAGGAGAGAGCCCACAGGATGTCCCCAAACCCGACCTTCATCCGAAAAAAGTTATGCTCTCTGTGTGGTGGGGAGTGGACGGCCCCATCTACTGGGAACTTCTGCCCGAGGGCAAAACAATAACTGGAGACCTCTACACTACTCAACTACGAAACCTCAAGAAAGCAGTCGACCGTTCGGCCCTGAAAGACAAGAAAGTGTACTATCAACATGATAACGCTCGCCCACATGTTTCGAAACAAGTGAAGCAGGAGCTGATGGGATATGGATGGAATGTTCTCCCTCACCCCCCGTATTCTCCTGATCTTGCTCCTTCCGACTATTGGTTATTTGGCGATATGACACGTGCCTTCGAAGGAAGAAGCTTCAATTCCCGTGGAGCGGTCGAAGCGGCACTCAAACAATACTTTGCCTCACGCCCGGCTGGATTCTACCGCAATGGAATCCATAAATTGAGGGAACGTTGGAGACATGTTGTTGATAATGATGGACAATATAATTAATTATTCGGTTATTTTTTCTTTGAGAAATAAACTATTGAAAAAGTGACAAAGACTTTCCCGCCAACCTAATATAAATAGTCTGACTGACATAACTCAATGCGTCTATGAAGTATTTATAGTGTCGAGTCATATCACATGCTGGTTTCTGGTCAATACACGTGGCAAGGGTCTTGGTGAATTCCACGAATTTGGATATGAAGATTGGGTCAGAAATTTCAGGACCGGTCACTTTGGATAGGGTGGTGGTTATGTAGTTCTGGATTTTTTTTTTGATTTTCAAGCTACAAAGTTAGAAACGTTAGCTACGCGGTCACAGGCTAACCTATAGCCGGTCTATAGTTTCAGGGTCTAATTTTCATTTTTTCAAGGTTAAAAAATCACTATGTCAGAGACATCGATATATAATCAGATTCTATTTTGTTCAGATCAATAATCGCCCAATATAACCAAAAAACGTATTAAATTTTAGGGTTCTGTGGTTTCAAAGTTAGACGGTCCTGAGCCAAAAATTTACGTGCCTAAAACCAATTTTTACTATTTCAATGGTATAATTTAAGATTCAGCAATTTTTCCTATTTTAGTTCTCAAATAATTAAAACGTGATCAGTAAAACTTGATTGTGAAGTTTCTGAGCCAAATTTTGTGACCAATGACAAGTTTTACTCATTTGCAAGAAAAATCCGAACTGTCACTTTTGAATCAATTTATATCAGTTCCTGTTGAAGATATCAAAAATAAACAACTAACAATTTTTTTTTGATGACTTGATAAACATTTTATCAGTTGACCATTTTCTGATATCTTTCACAGAAAGTTAGATATATAAGCTCAAAGTTAGGAAGCACTAATATCTTTCCTAGTATTTTAGCTCCAAAAATCAACTATTCGAGAAGTTTCTTTCCAGAAAAATATTTAAAAATACACTTTCAAGTTAAAAAATAACTCCATAGGAAAACCGTTTTTGTTAGTCTATACTTTTTTCTAATTCTGAATATCTCAAGAATCTACCTGATGCGGTTCCAAACACTCAGTCAACATTAGTGTCTCTTGTGAGCATCCATGACGGATTGGCGTGTTGAAAACCATAGGGATCAAAATGACGACAAGAAGGATTTGGATCAAAATCGAACAGTTGGACATCATTGCTTTTTTTCAGATGGAGGAAAAAAAATCCGAAAAAAAAGTGGTTTTTCGGATAGTCACAACTTTTCTAAAGGGTTTGGTTTATTCGTGGATCGAAGAACCAGTCACATTGTCACGAAAAAACGAAATCTCGAAACAGTTTTTTTGGCAAGTGCGCTCTATCGAAATCAAAGTTTAGAAAATCACTCTTTCGAACTCTTCATGTTACGCTTTGAGAAGATGTTTATCAATGATGATGCGATATACAAATGATGATACGATATACATGAAAAATATATTTTTCTTGAAATTCCATTCATATGTATATAGTCATTTTTAAATATTTTCGTTAGCCTAAATAAAACTTCTATTTCAAAATGTGCTTATTAATTTCAACTTGAAAATGAGAGCTATTAACTATTAAGCCCAGCTGAGATAATTTTGACAAATGCGCTCTATCGAAACGAAAGGAATAAATTTATTCCCAAAAAAAGTTCAATCTCAAATCTTCTTATTCCTTTTCACTTCAATCCCACTCAACATGCTCTCACTGAAACCATTGGCTCTATAATTCCTTTTCTGAATCTTTTGAAATTCCGAATGATCAACCGAGTAGCGTTTAGAGACTTCTCCACGGAATCAATGATTTTTCGATTTTTGCAAACTTGATCGTCCTTCATTTTTTCGATGACGCAGTTGACTAGTTTCTTTTGATCCAAAGTATAGGATTGGAACTTTCGGAGGTTCCGAAAAGAAATTGGTACAGTGTTCAGGCAGTCTTGGAGTTTCGGAGTGATCTGGAAAAAGATTACAGTTGTTTCAAGACAAGCATATTTAGAGTTTAACTGTTATAGAAGTTGTTTTGGTATATGAATTAGAATAAAAAAAAGTTTTTTTTTTGGAAAAATTCTTCGAAATTTTTTTTCGAGAAATTCCTCGAAAAATGCACAATGCGGAATTTTGAAGTTATCGTTGCTGATATTTTCCTCGTTTTTTCAGTCACTTTGAAGTGGTGGCCTAACTTTTGCAAATTGAGTTTTCTAGACCACCACTTTGAAATGACCTAGAAAGCACACCAGGGACATTTGAGCCTATTCATAGGCCATTTGCCATCGCGGCCTAGAAAACCCAATTTGCAAAAGTTAAGCCACCCCGCTAAAATTACCTAGAAAACACCCCCGCAAGTTCAACTCACCCGTTCCAAACATTTGAACACCTTCAAATCATATAAATTCTCTCCGACATAGCTTAGGCTATCCACAAAAAACTTATAGTGTCTGGCAGTGTCACAAATGAGATCTGTACCTATACACGTGGCAACGGTTTTTGTGAAGTTTGTGAATTTTTTCATAAAAATGGGATTTGAAATTTCACGACCTGAGGCATCGAACAGGCTGGTTTCGATATAGTTCTGAAAAAAACCTATTTAAAAATACTATTTCCAGATCACCATAAGAATTTAGGGGAATTTTCTCGTTGTTCCATATATTTCTTCTAAAAATTTTTCAAACGAATAATAATAAACCAGTTTCAACATGAGCATAAAAATTTGGCGTTCTAGTTTGTTCTAGTCATTCCGATGAACTTGCTATGAAAAATTTACCTGATGCGGTTCCAAACAATCCGCCAACAGCAGATCCTCCTGTTGACATTTTCCAAGGTTTGATGACTTATCAGCTGATATCATAGAAGCAATGATGATGATCAGAATTATCAGTGAACAATTGAACATCGTTGGCTTTCGTTTAGGTTTAAAGGTAAAATGTTTAGATTGGATTTCAATGATGATGACTTGGAGAGAAAAAAAAGAGAAAAAATGGGGTTAGAGAGATAATTTTACGTATATAGGTTTTGATTTGATTGGTTATATGGAAACTGGCAATTTCGCAACCGGACGTTTCAGAACCGGTAATTTGGCGACAGGACTATTTAGAACCCTCAATTTCGGACTTGACCAATTTGCAACCAGGCGGTTTAGAACTCAGTTAGCAACTCTTTCGAAATGGTCCATTTCGAAACTAACAACTTCAGGACTAAAAGAGTCAAAATCGGTCTTTTTTCAACTTTTGTCATTTTAAAAATTATCACTGTTTTCTAAATTTTATTTATTATTTTCTAAAAAAATTCTCATTGAGTTTTCGGCCGATGCAGAATCGCTAATTTTGTAACTAATAATTTCACAATTGGACGATATAGAACCGAATATTTCGTAACCCAGACGTTCTGGAACCGGTCATTTCGCAACAGGACGTTTCAGAACTAACTATTTGGCAACATTTCCTTTAAGAACCGGCTACTTTGCAACCAGACGTTTAAGAACAGATCGTTGCGTAACCGGAAGTTTTAGAACCGAACGTTTTAGAACCATTTAACGACCCTAAACCGAGCATTCCTAAAACGTCAGGTTGCAAAATTATTAGTTTGGAAATGTTCCGATTTTCAAGGTTTTGATGATAAGTATGATGAGAATCGATTACTGAAAAACTAAAAACAAGAAAATTATCTGAAATTTTGAAAACAGTGATAATTTGAAATTAATTTCTAAAATGCCGAATACAAAATTTCCAAAAACTCTCACAGCACGCTCTCCCACAAAACAATTCCGAACTGCAAATTAATTTTTGATCTAGAGAAAAAAAGTTTGGCGCGATCACAATTGCAGGTCTAAAACCATAATTTCAGAATTTTTTATCTGATTTTGTGGAGTTCCAAGATGATTCAAATAATTCTTTAAAAATTAATTAGTGGTTGTAGATTCATGTATGGTCGTTTTCCGGAAGAAAAAATTTCAAAAATGGTCATTTTTTAAAGTTTTTTAAAGAAAAAATCTATCTCATCTTTCAGTTTTTGATATTTTTAGGAGTTCTAAAGTTCAAAAAAACCGCAATTATTTTCTCTACATTTTCTATGGATGAATTTTCAATTTGTCTGATAAAACTTTTTTTATAATCAAAAAACAACGCAAAAATGCTATTTTGTGCAATTTCATGAGGTTTTTAAATTATAAAAAAAGTTTTATCAGACAAATGAAAA